GCTGAGCAACCTCCATTCCACGTAAGAGACGGTTACGGGGAGTTAATAAGGATGATATAGAAGTTAGTGAATATCGAGGTCCATGATCAAGAGAAAAATGGTAAATGGGAGTTCTGAATGGAATTAACCACTAAAGAATAGAGAGATGGGGTTTTGAGGGAAAGAAAAGAAAAAGAATACAGAGAAAATAAACCAGAGAAGAATTAACTGAGAGAACGGGGAGAGACGGATAATACATAGCCAAAAAAAAAGAGAACCAGCCAAGAGAGACCATTACTAGAAGAAGAGAGATTTTATTTGTTTTTTAACATAATAGAGCAAAAGAAAAGAATGGTGGTGTAAAAGTTTTCTTTCCCATATTCAAAAATCAAACAGTGTTGTCATAAAGGGATTTCCTCGGCCCTGGTTCGTTGGAAGCAACCAATAAAAACAAGTCAATTGTTTTTAGCGTTCAAGTATAAGTAAGCAAATTTCCAAGGTTCTTCTCCAATTCTTCTTCTGAAATTTTAATTTTTTGTTCCTTATTTGAAATTAGCAGAAAAGTAAAGGATATAATTTAAATGTTTACCTTAGTTGCGATTCATCTCATTTTGCCTCAGAATTGTTTGAACTTACGCTATCAAAACAAAAGAGTTGTGTTAGTTAGAAATGAGTCCATTAATGAGTAAAGAAGAAAGGGTTTTGGGGTTGAGTTACTTGGGTTATGCGAAATCCGGTAGAGTTTAGTTGACTCCTCATCGCCGTTAAGATTCCATTGTCGTAAAAAAATTGGGTTGAGTCTTAATAAGTTGAATAATTTTGAAATAAAATAGAAAATAGAGAGATCCATTTACCTTGTTATATTTGGTCTTTACCGGAGAAAGGGGCTATCGTTGAGAGGTGGCCAAAAAAAGTTTTGAAGGCTCATGGGTCTTGAGGGTCTCGATTAAGAGCAGCAGAGGGGTTAGGCTATTAGAATTGTGAGCTGCGTCGCATGAGTAGTGAGGGAGAGAGGTTCACAGTTGCGTGGCAGAAAGGGAGAGTGGAGAAGGATACTGGAAATGGCTAGGTTCTTTAGTTTTAAAAAAATAACTTAGGGTTTTTTATAGTTAGGTTATATATTAAATATTTTGGGTTTTTGCGTGAGGTTACTGTAGGGTTAGTTCATTTGGGCTCTATATTAAATGTTTAGGATAAAATTAGGTTTTAGACTTCTTATTTTAGCGTGTTTGTATTTCAGTCACTTGTAAGTCTATATTCGAATTTTAATATTTTGTGTTTGTCATAATTTCGCTATTTTTCCAGTTTTAGTTTTAGTTATAATTTTGAGTTATTCACGTGTAGACCCTTTTTATGGATGTGCTTATATTTAGGTCCTTGGTTTATTTTTGATTTGCAAGCTGAATTTTACATTTATTTAAATTTAGTCACTTTTTAATATGTACATATATATTTTAAATTTTGTATTCTAACATGTCATGATTTTATTTTTATAATTAAGTCACATTTGTATATAATATGTTAATATGCATAATTTATGATTTTTAATTAAAATATATGTATTTTTTTACGTTGTATGATATTTTTAATTTTGGTATGACATCCTTTTTTGCACGATTCGTATGGTAACCTCATTTGCATAACTCGATATATTACATAATTGGATTAAAGGTAATACACTTTTAATTTAAAATTGTTTTAAGTGGGTTGTCATAACGCATTTGAGGTTCGCTTTTAATGATTTTAAAATAAAAATGTATCTCATTAGTGACGCCTATAAATTGATCCATCACTTTAAAATTTGGGAATATAAGAAAAAGAAATGTTCGGCTATTTAAATTTATCGAGAAAAGGTTGTTATAGCTTTTAAGATTTGGTCTCGATATTTGTAAATAATCGAACATTCTTTATCTTTCTAAAATGACTCGGTAATTTTAATTTAATTTATTTGAGTTCTTTTGAATGTTTTTAAATTTACATCTTTGTTTTATAGGATCAAAAGTCAAATTAAGTTTGAAATTTTAAGGTTCATTGCAAAGACGTTAATCAATCGACTAGGTACCGATTTAGGGCGTTGTGGGGGTGCTAATCCTTCCCCATACGTAACCGACTCCCGAACTCATTTTTGATAATGCAGACCTTAATTTGTTGTTTTAATTAAAAGTAATTTTTTATTTAAAATAACAAAACATTTTTGGGTGCCCAATCACATCCTAATCAAAGATTGGTGGTGACTCTTTGAACCGTATTTTTTTCGATTGTAAAGGAAATTTGAATTTTTCGAAATGAGAGTTTTTTTAAATCGCATTTGTTTTTAAATTAAAAATCGATTGAAAGAGATAAGTCAAAAATTGATGTGGTTTTCAAAATCTCACATTTTCACCTTTTAAGGAAAAATTGTTTCGACAAGAGGAAGAAGAGAGAACTTTGGATGTTGCAGTTAGTAGAGGTGCTGATCATGTAAGAAATGTTGACACCGCATTTGCCCGGGAGACTTTCGACTAAAGGAGCGTTGATGTTGGGGATAGAACTAGCTGCATTTGCAAGCATCTACAGGCAGTTTTGCGGTTCAGGCCTCGAACCCCATTATAGCTAGGCACCGACATGGCTTCTCCGTTCTACAAGTATTATACGCAAGTGACCATCTTCATCGACATATCTCCACCTGTTAGGGCGATTGTGACAATGGGAGAAACCACCAACACCAGAGCACAAACAAGCTTAACACCAGCCACGGGGAATTCCTTGAAAAAATAAAGGTGATAAGTTTGGAAGGTGAGAGGATATTGTTTTACTTTGTGTTCTTTGAAAGTTGTTAGGTGTGAATCAATGGAGGAAATGGTTAGGGTTTATATAGAGAAGTAAGTGTTGGAAACGAATGAACTTAATTGAATATGGTCGGTTGGTTGTTGTTAAGGCTTTTAATTGAATCTGCAGTACTAATTAAATCATATCCTTCCTCTTATGGTTTCCATGCTCTTCTGCTTGCAGCTTTGATCACATAGTAGAAAACTGATCTCCACATATAGTATTATTTAAATCGACTCAAAACCTATAATACTAAACAATATATAAATACTCTTTTTCTTCTTTATTATTTATAATCCACGGTCACATCAATTTTAGTATTGGTCGTTGACAATCTGTATTCTTTATTTTTCATTTATTATAGCGTATTTGTTTTTAATTTTTAATAACCCTGTCTTTATGACACATTTTTTTCTACTTTTATGACATGCTTTCAGTCATTTGGTCATTCTTTTCGTTTATCATTTTTCTCAGGTTGAATTTGACATCACCATGACTTATCAAGATGTCACTTCTTTATTATCATGTTGATCTTTCCTGATTGGATTTGGTCGTTCGTTTCTGATTTGTAGTTTGTCGATGGTCTTTCAATAGCTTGATCTCTTTTTATGGTTTGTTTGTCGATGTGATCAGATCTGTTCGTATCTACATTTTGTTCAAGTTTAGTTGGTTAATTTTATAACCTTTTGTTTAAGTTTATATGGTCCTTATGTGATCTTAAGTTTCTAGTTTTTTTATGTTAATGATTATAGAAAAATGTTTTTATTATGTGTTTAGTTTAAAGTTGTAGTTATAAATCATCACGATCCGGACGGACACATAAATTTATGTCAGTGGTGCAAACTTAAAATGTTATATTAAAAACTTAATGCTTAGGGTTTAGGGTTTATGTACAATCATAGTTGGTGACCGTTTGGTCCTAGATTTCATCGATCATCGTGTCATCATTTGATTGGATAAAAAAATTAATTAAATAAATTAAAATTTATAAAAAAAAAACCTCCAACCAAGAGTTGACACTTGTTAGATGTGAGAAGTGTCATGATCATATGTTGACATGTGTTACCTCCTGATTGGATGATTAATTTATTAAATAAAATTAAAATTAGGACCAAATTGATTGATTGTACAAGTATTGAGGATCAAATATATAATTATACTAATTTTGTTAACTGTCATGTAAGTAGTTCCGTTAAATGTTAACGACAAGGTGCCATATTGGAACCAATTAAATAGTTAAGTGATCATATTGACTCAATTTTGAAAATTGTGGTCATATTGACACCAATCTCATAATTGGATGATCATTCAAATAGTTTACCCTGAATAATAATGGTACCGTTTATTGCAAACTTATAGGAGAAAAGTTTTGTATGAAGTTGGATCATTTTGTGCTTGCATGGAGTTGCAAGTACATTTGGTAAGAGTTAGTAAGGATATGGAAAACACATATAGGAATGGGGTGTTCATGGTCGGTTAATCGTTACAATAGTTATTAAATTTTATTAACCATAACCCTACCATTAAAAAATGATTAACCGTTAGAACCGTTAGCGGCTAACGATTAACTGTTATTAACGGTTTGATTATATGGTAATATATAGTTAACCTATTACAATATTTTTCAAACATAACACAACTTAAAATTTTTAAAATTTACGAGGATAGAAACATATATATTTATAAAAATCTTATTTATTTATAAATATATTTTATTCTATAGAAATATATATATATATATATATATCTATATATATATATATATATATATATTATGAGTTATATTTTTTTTTTACAATTTAAAATTTTATGTGTATATTTATATTTTATAATTTAAAATCAGATATTTATTTCACTTATGTTTAATTTAATGTGTTTCTATATAAGATAAACTTTTTTTGACGGACTATATAAGATAAACTTGATAAATAAAAAATAGGAATAATCATTTTGATTTTATTTCTAATTCTATTATCTAAAAAATATGATTAATTAATTATAATTTATTAATTATTAAACGATGGTCAACCATTTATTAAAATTCATTAACTTTAACTGTTAACTGTTATTTTTAACGGTTTAATTAACCGAAATTATTAAATTTTAACGATTTGATTAATTAACCTATAAAATATAATGATTATATCGATTATTGATTATAGTTAACCGTCACGGATTAATTTGAACACCCTAATGCCAGGACTCCATTTCTCTATCACAAATAATAGGAATTTATTAACTCTCTATTACATTGTGAAAGCAGGTAAATGGGAATCTTGAATTATACCTTTGTGTTTCGGTTATTCTCATAACGGGGATTAGGCTTTCCTCAAGCCCGGCTTTCGTTATAATATAAATATAAAGCTAAAATTCGTTTGGCTCCCCACGTAGCGTAACTTAGAAGGCTATCAATCCAATCACCACAGCAACGCTTACCCATGACCACACTACTCTAGAGGAAGCGGAAGGAGAAGGTGCTTCAGAATCTTCATCATTGTCATCAGAATCTTTGGGTTTGGGGGGCGACTTCCTTTTGGCAGCTTTAGGAGATGGAGCTGGTGCGTCGGATGGAGAAGGGGAGTCTGCCTCATCTTCGGCATCGGAGCTAGGGGCACTGCTACTGCTAGACTTGGACTTCTTGGGAGCAGGGGCCGGTGGCTTGGAACCCGGTGGTGGTGGTGGAGGAAGGATGGGATCACCAAAGGCAGGAGCCACAATGGGTGTGCTAATGTGGAGCACTGATAAGTTGAAAGGCTGGGAAATGACGGAACCCAGAAGCTTAGCAACTAGTGGTGAACCCTTGGTGGCTGAACCAAACACAACATCTCCTGGTGCAATCCTTGTAATGTTGACGAAACCATTTTGGTTCGAAGCCGAGCCAGTGGTTTGATACAGAGTGGTGAGAAGAGCACTCTTCTTTCCCAGCTTTCGGATCTTTTCCTTATCGAAGTAGTCAAGGATGATGTGATTCATGAGGATTTCCCTAAGTTCATCGTTGGGTCTGTTTGCGATGGATTTGATGGCATCGTTGTCCAGGGCTAGTATGGTAATGGTTAGACGATGGTTGATAGCTTCGGTCAGCTTTGTCTGCTTGAGAAGATTGCTGAGAGTGCTGTACTCAGAGTAATCTGCAAGCGCTTTGGTGATGTTTAAAGCTGTAGAGGTAGTGGACAAGGCCAGGAAGAATGCAGCCACGAAGAGGAGGTAGGCTCCGGATTTAGCATTTGTAGTCACAGCCATTTCGGTGTGGAAAGCTGATTAACACAAAGCCTGATTAATCCTGCCTTACCACTTGGGCATTAGGCCTTTACTTATATTCCAGGCTAGCGGACAATGTGCCTACATTTCATGCTTGTTCTAACCTCCATTCCACATGTCAGTATTATATACCATGCAGTTGGAACGTTTCCACTCCACATTATTACTATTTTGGAGTATCCTCATCATAAAAATAGACTTACGACGATTGGTTAAGTGTTATGAGACACTAAACTAAGCAATTTGTGATTATTAGATATGTTTGGTTAAGTGTTATAATAAAGTATGTTTAGTCGAGTGGCATTTATTATAGAAAGAATTTTGCCTCTAATCAAGGTATTTGACCCAATTTGATTTTTGAATATAGACTTGCAACGAATTTTTGAATGGGATCATAGTATTTCTGGATCGACTGTCAACATATCTTCTTACGACATGATCGACTGCCAGTTAGATTTTCAACACATCTTAAAACGTCTCAATCGGACATTAGAAAGTCAAGATATGTCTACTTTAACAATATAATATACATAGAAGTTACTATACATGATTAATACAATTTTTTATTTATTACACATTTTTAATATTTTTATTAATTATTTATAATAAATTCAACATTAGATTTTTTATATGTATTTTAAATAAGTTAGGATTTATTTATTGATATTAAGTTTCATATTTTAGTTTAAATATGTTTCTGTTAGAGTTTTTACTTTGTTTAGATTTTTATCCTGTCTTGTTTCAAAGTATTAGTGTCTAATTACATTGTAATTAGTATTTGATTTTCTTCTTTACCATTTAGATTGCTAAGGACATGACCTTAAAAATTAGACATTTTCAATCTAAATACAAACATCTAAGATAAAATCTTAAAAAGGAGTTGTCATATCCTACTAAATCTCGAAATTGTAAGTTATGTTTGAATTTGAATACTAAAATTTTAGGTATTATTATCTCTATCTTTTCTAATTTAACATGATTTGATTATATAACTCTTCACATGTCTTAGGTTGGTCATGCTGATTCTGGAAAATCAAATCTCTCTGGTAGACTGCTTCACCTTTTCTGGAGATTACATGCTGCCCCCTAATATAAGAGCTGCTAGAAGTTGTTTGAATTTGTTGTCCTATCCTGCTCCTTGCTACTTTTATTTGTTTGACATTATGATTACCTATTCAAACTTCCCATTTTGGTTACCAATGATATAGATTTCAGGTTTTAATAGAATAACTGGTTTATCATCCTTAACCATAAACTTGATGTGTGGGGTTGTAGGTTTTAGTTGTGCCATCTGCAAGTGTAGCAACTGTGCGTTTCTTGGAGTGAGATTCCCAACCATGTACAATTGGAAGGGCTGGAGATAATGTAGCTGTCAGCCTGCATGGCATAGACGCACATCATGTGCTGGCTGGTGGTGTTCCAGTTTCATTTGCAAAACATTTGGAGTTGAAGGTGCTTGTTTTGGACGGTTCCACCCCAATTTTGGATCTTTGATCGGTAGTCAGGCAAGTTTCCTAAGTAAATTCTGTACTTATTTGTTAGTAACGTTTTGGTTTATAACTTTATATAAACAATTGAATAATCAGAATGGGAAAATTAGTTGGAGTTTCATACACACCATGCAAAGGAGGCTGCGAGAGTTACAAAAGTATCATCTTTACTTGATTCAAAGACTTGGAAAGTTGCAAAGAAAGCACCCCGCTGCATTGTTGCAAAGCAGGGTGCAGTTGTTGAGGAAAGTCAGCCGGATGACCCATTAAGACTTCGTTGCCTATGTTCAAGCTAATGCAACAGGTACAAATCAAGGCAAAAATAGCTGGAGAAGACTTGGCCATTCATTTTAAGAAAACCAAATTAAGCCAACGTACTCAAGTGAAGATGATACCTACCTATTTATAGTTGTTACAATGCAAAACATGTTTAAAACCAAAAGAGATTGCATCAGCTTGTACAGTTGGGTTTGGTTTGGGCTTTTGATTAATTGCGTATCCTATTAAAACGTGGAAAATCATTTTGAGAAAACATTTGCAACTTGCAACTGCAAGGCGCTTCTCCTGTTGGTCAACGTTGGAAAAAAGAGACTTGTTGATTCAACAGGAAACCGTGTATGTATGTATAATTACATCTTCCTGTTCTTTTTTGTTCAAGCTACTAATTACTTCTCATTCCTTACTCCGCCACCTTCCTTTTATTCCTTTGCTTTCAGTAATGGAAAATTAACAGCAAAAAGAGAGGAGAGGAAATATCCAGTGTTATTTACCGATAATACCAGAGCAGAAAACACACGCGCATATCTAAGAAGGTAAGCCCCCCAATTTCATCGCTTCCCGCTTTCTTCTTTGGATATGCTAAGTAGAGTAGACATCTTTAAATTTGGTTGATTTTCCCAAGTTTGTATTAGTTTCCCCTGCTGCATCTCCTTGTTTCTGTTGACAATATTTATTGCTTTATGGACTCTTACCCAATTCATAACTCGGTTAGAAATTAGGTACGAAGATGTATCTGGTTGTTTCATTGAGGGCTTTTTTAAATCATTTTCATGATTGCCCATGCTCTCTGTTATTTTCTTTTTCTGTCATATTAGAACGAATAAAACTGCGGCATCAAAGTTCAATAATTTTATTTGCTTTTTTTTCTTATATATCATTAATGATAGAAATAATAATATTCAATAGTTTTAATCTGGATGCGGCTTCATCACTCTGTTTGGAGATCAATTGCATGGTATTGCAGGATGTTGATTGTTTTCAGATTATACTTAACCTACGATTTCAAGATCCCATGATTGCTATCATACTCTTGTGTTGTTGCATTTGGATTTTACACGTGTTTGATTGCTAACCACTTGCCAGTGACCTTATGAACATGTAATAACTGCAACTTACAGTTTTCTTCTGCCATGTGTAGCTTTTAGTTGGCATCTTAGAGCTGATCAGCGATTGATTTCCAACAACTTTTTTCTCTATATCTACCCATGTTATTGTAAGATTATTCTGCAAATTGTGTCAATGGCGTCTGAACCTTTTTATGAAAGAAGCCTCCAATCACATACTTCTTACATGGAGGATGTTCTGTCGAATACCAACTGGGATGATTTGATTTGTCCAATATGTTTGGATGTTCCCCACAACTGTGTGCTCCTCCAATGTCCATCTTACGGGAAAGGTTGCCATCCTTTTGTTTGTGACACAAACCACTTGCATTCAAATTGTTTGGATCGATTCAAAAATGCAAACGGGGTGTCACCCCCTTCAACATCTGATACAATTCCTACAACAAGCATTCAGCTAACAGCATTTGAAGACAACTGCAAGCCATCTTGCCCCTTATGTAGAGGGGAAGTCATTGGATGGTTTGTTGTTGATGAGGCTCGTCTACTTCTAGATGAGAAGAAACGTTTTTGTGAGGAGGAGCACTGCACATTTACTGGAACCTACTCTGAATTACAGAAACATGCTCAGTTAGAGCATCCTCATGCACATCCTTCGAGAATTGATCCTGCTCGGCAGTTTGATTGGGAAAATCTTCAGCAGTCCTCTGAGATAATAGATGTTATGAGCACTATACATTCAGAAGTCCCACGTGGGGTGGTTCTTGGGGACTATGTAATTGAATATGGTGAAGATGAATCTGGAGATGATTTTGATGACTTCCCTGGTGAGGGAAACTGGTGGACCTCTTGTATTTTATATCAGGTGTTTGATAACTTGAGGATTTCTAGAAATAGAAGGAGATCGAGAGTCACTGATGCTAGAAGGGGAAACCGCCTCTCTAGTTATGCTTCATCAAATTCTGATGAGGGTTCCGTGACTTCTGGAGAATATGCAGAGTATAGAATAGATGAGACTGATGATGAGTTTGTGAGCACAAGTGCTCCCTCCCGAAGTAGCTTTGGCTATCGGAGGTCAGTAATTTTTTTTGCTTCTTCTCATCTGTTAGTGTTTATTGTTCTATTCATCTCTAGCTTTACTTGGATTTGTCATAATTAGCATCACATAAAATATGCACTACGTTAGGCCTAGATGTTGAAAAGAATCTCATAGCTCATGGTATTGATTGGTTTGGCCTGCATTAGAACAGCTTCTGTGGTTGGCCTAAAGATATAGAGGTCTGATTTGTAAATAGAAGCTTGGAATGAATCAAATTCGAGGTGCAACTAGTAACTGTGCCTGGTGCATCTGCAAGCTATGCAAACTAGTGTGATTTCCCATGTATCATTTCTGATGGCTATTGACTGGTGACTGCACCACAGGTCCACGTTATATGTTGTAGCAATGTATTTACTTAGTTAATTGTTTCATCTTCAACATCATTGTCCAAGAGTAAAAGGGGACAATGAATGCTATAAAATTCATTGCAAATGCAGTGGTGACATGCCTAGTGTGCTAGAAGTGCATGACCACAGTTTCTTGTTTGAGGTTTCATGATTTTGTTTTCCTTGGAAAGTTTACCTTTTATGATTTTTACAGTTCACGAAGGCGCCGGTCCCGCTTTTATGACAATTAGGGTGTTCCGTAGAAGGTAAGGCTAGTGTGTCTTTAAACGTGAGAGTGGTATGCCGACTTATTTAGTTTTAATCCATTTATTCTTTCATTTTTCTCAAATTTTACAAGCAGCGGTGGCACGGATTGAGCGTGTGGAGGTGGACTCTTGGCGCAGGGTAGCAGATAGTTTTAGATTATGAAACATGTAAAAAGAATATATGTGATTGGAACTTATTATGTTTGTGATGAGATGTTGTGGTTGGATTTGAATCTCATGTTTATCAAAGAAATGGAATATAAAGTTGAATTATTCGTATATATATGGCTGATAATTGTCGGGTTAAAAGTCCGCATTATAGTTTTCTCGTGCGGTTGTGTTAGTAATTTAGTATGCATGAAAATGATTTTCGTTGACTTTGAGTATCCCCACATCTCTCACACCATTTTCTTCCACAAGCAGTTTTAGTTTTCAAAGAAACATCACAGACCCAGTTTTTTTTTTTTTTTTCTTAATACAAAAAAATGTCCAAACTATACTCATTTTTCAATTTAGGTGGGTAAACTCTTTTCGGTCAATCTGGTTGTTGGCAAGAATGCATGAAAGTTTGAAGGGATACACACAACAGATTCGGTTGAAGAGATGCTTTCTTCATTGTTAACCGTTTGACAAATCCGCGGCAAAATTTTTCAATGATTGGATTGATGTTCAACGAAGAGCACACAACACTCAATTTTCGAATTTTATAATTCAGCACCTTAGTAAGGAGGCTAACCGACATGATCTTGGATGCTATTAGTATTTGAATTTAAATCCTTCATTCTTACAAAAAAAATAGTAGCAGTGAGGCGAGCGAGCTAGCACATAGCGGAGCTGAAATAATAATAGCAAATTAAGAGGAAAGGAAAGCTCGAAATAAATAATACACTCACTCTCAGTTACACGCACAAATCATTGTAAATTAAAAAAATCGAGGTTGCCCGCGAACAATCCAACCACAAACAGCACCTCAGGGGCATTCGATTTCAATGCAAATTGTTCAAGCAAGTTGTATAAGGTTAGCCCTCTGTCAATCTTTACCTTTTGTTTCCGTTGATGTAAGCTTGTTTTTCGGTTTTCATTCTGCTTATTGTCTCTGCAATTCTTGCTATGTTCTTAGCTCTTATCCTACCAACTCCACTGATCTCTTTTCTTGCAACTTCATTGATTGCTGCAGTGATTTTAATTTTCTTTTTCGTTGACGGGTTGAGACTACGCGCTGTTGTTTCTTTTAAGTTCGGTGATTCCAGCTCTAGGGTTTTGATTTTTTCTTTGCGTTATTCAATTCGGCTTTTTGTAGTTGGTTTCTGCCTGCTACTCAAGTGGAGTTCGATCCCTAGGGTTTTGGTTCTGCAACAGTGATTTGGTTTTGCATTGCACGGTTTCTCCCTGGGTGAATTCCAGATTGTTTGGAAGCTGAAATAACTATATCCACCTTGGGAATTCTGAGCTTTTTTTTTTTCCTCTATGATTTCAAGCATGCTGCTTTTCTTTCTATATGCATAGACTGAGAGTTTGGTTTGCATTCTACGTTATGCTAAATGGATTTGGACTTGATTGATGTCGGAGAAAAATGTAAATTGGGTTGAAAACTGGTTTCAGTGGTTCTTTAGTTCTTTGAATGGTGTATGAATCTGTTTATTGAGCAATGCAATCCCAGCAGGGCTCCAGAATCGATTTAGGTGAATTGAAAGCTCAGATAGTGAAGAAGATTGGGGCTGAGAGGTCAAAAAGGTATTTTTATAATTTGAGTAGGTTTTTAAGTCAGAAGCTCAGTAAATGCGAGTTTGATAAGTCATGTTACCGCATTATTGGGAGGCAGAATCTGTCGCTGCATAATCAGTTGATATATTCAATCTTGAAAAATGCATGTCAGGCTAATACTCCACCACCGGTTCATGAAGCTCCAGTTAAATCTTGGATACAAACAGTGAAAAGGTCTCCTAGTAGACAAGATGCATGTGAACAGACTGGATCCCTTGTTCCCAGCCAAAATCAAAGTGTGGACATTTGGTCAAACGGGGTTTTCCCAGTATCATCCCCTAGAAAGGCTAGGTCTGGAGTACGGGATAGAAAGCTCAGGGATAAACCCAATCCACTTGGGCCAAATGGGAAGGCTGATAGTGTCTCACATCACCCTGTGGGAATGGAAGACAATGCCTGTAAATTGGATTTCGAAAATGGTGATTTGATTCCTTATAATTATCATAGACCAGTACAGCATCTTCAAGCAGTTGCTGAGCTGCCTGAAATTGAAAGAGAAGTTTTGGCGCACTCTACAGAAAAACGAAGTGCGCTTGGTGAAAACCAGGCTGAAGCAGCTTTTGTTGAAGATGAGGAGGAGCTGGAGCAAGCTAACCACATTATTCTCTCCAGAAGCACTTTGTTACCACCACTTGGGATTCCATTTTGTTCAGCTAGTGTTGGTGGAACCCGCAAATCTCTGCCAGTGGCAAGCGGTGGTGACTTTGTTAGCTACTTTGGGTATGGTGGTTTATATGATACCGATACATTGAAGAAACGCATGGAGCAAATCGTAGCAGCACAGGGCCTTGGTGGGGTTTCTGTGGAATGTGCTAGTATGCTGAATAACATGTTGGATGTATACTTAAAGAAACTTATCAGGTCATGTGTAGAGCTGGTGGGATCAAGGTCTACTCCAGAATCGAAAAAGCAGTTTGCCCACAAGCAACACCCTCAAGGCAAGCTTATGAATGATATGTGGCCAAGTAACCACTTGCATATGCAGAGTAGCTCTGGGCTTACAGAAGTTTTGCAGGAACCTGGGCAGCATTGCTCGATATCTTTGCTTGATTTCAAAGTGGCAATGAAGCTAAACCCCCAGAAGCTGGGTGAAGATTGGCCATTGCTACTGGAAAAAATTTGTGTGCATTCTTTTGAGTCGTGAATCCCTGCAAAATTTTGTTTATCCTGAAGCTGTGATTAGATCCTGTTCGTTCTGGTTCGATGTTCTTGAAAAAAATGATCACTGAAGGTCCCAGTTCTTCCCCATTACTGACATTAACCAGATGGTGTGCAGTTGCATCCTCGCGAGATGAAATTATGGGTTACAGTGTGGGGATGCATGTACCCCTGCCACAAAGCCAGGATGGGTCTGGAATTTTTTTTTTTTTTTGAGCAACTGAGCTAAGATGCTTGAAAAGGAAGTGCTGACAATCAGTTGCTATGTTGTACGATTAGGATTGTTTTGGCTATCTTCTGCCATCTCAGCAGATCTCAGTTTTTTTTTTTTTTTTTGTAAACTACAGCCAACAAGGAGGAAACTGAAGAAAGTTTTGCAGGAAAGCTGTTTTGTAGCTTGTTTAAAGGTAAATTTACTTTGTAAGAGCTGCAGCATTGCTCTGTATGTAATTTTAAAATTTGAGAATTTATTGAGTTCCATGAATGATAACTATCAGCATCCATTAAATTATATATGGTGATTTGTATCTAGATATTGCCACTCAACAAGTGCTGAAATTTCTAGTTCCTATGCTCCCGGTTCTATTTTCCTGTGGAGTTTATGACTTCCTAATTGTAATCAATTATCATTGATTAGATTTTGTGCCATGCAGTTTTCATGGTGCTCAAAGTACCGTTCTTAATTCTTGATTTGATATGTCTGAAATCTCTAGTCTCAGGCTATCTATTGTAACAAAGTTCATGAGTTGCTTATTGGGCTTACAAATGTCAAGTAGTTATTAATTGATCATAAGCTCTATGGTGAGATCAATCATGCTAGGTTGGTTTGCAGAATGCTTGCAGTTATCTGCAAGTATATGGTGGATCAAGTCATATACTCAGCAGCTTTCTGATGTCTGACTATCTGGAACATGAAAAAGGGCATTTGTAGATGGTGCTGGATCTCTTGTGATATAAAGAGGTAAAAGTTTCTCAATTTTGATAAAAAAAAAATCTACCAACAACCCATCGATGTTCAGTAGGAGTCGGTATGTTTACTTGCTAGTGCCGTTCTTCGATTTCACTCTGCTCTAGATATGAGAGATAATTTTGCAGAAATTTTCTTGTAATTCACAACATACAGATGCTATATTTTGTTGAGCTGATTTTGAGGTTCTGCTTTCAGCTGATTAGATTTGCACCACATTCATTTTGGGATTTTTCATTATTATATATTTTTGTTATTCGGTATATCATACCCTAAAAACAGGAAACCGTGTCCCTTAGTTATATTTGCACTATTTCATTAGTATTATTATCGGACTCATTAAAGAGATTTCCAATGTTGTATTACTTCTAATCTATGAGTTATCTACTGGTGTGTTTGAGGTTGGGGCAAAACCAAGTGAGGAAGCTATTATTAAATATAATTTTTTAAGCTGAAGAGATTGGCTTATTCATGTTTACATTTACTTCACTTGTGACGAAGAGATGAGGTCTGGAATAAGCCTGAGAGGAAAAGTATTGGAACTTGAAATCGTTAAATATGTTGTCAGCTATGTTAGCTATATCTGGATCATGTGGCTGGTATTAGGGTTCAGTTGATAAACTAGTGAATGATATTTAAATATTGTGAAGGCATTTGTAAATTTATGTTTGATGGTGGGGAACATCCTTTATAATTCAGAGGCATGGTTTAGAAGACCTATGTTGGACGTCATTTTTGAAGTTACATTATTGCTTGTGATTAAATTGGTGTGTGTGTGTGTGTATAAACATAGAGAAATGGCATAATGAACCATTAAATCTTGTGCATCTATTGTTATAATATTACTTCCATTTCGACCTGTATCGGTTGTTGCAAAAAAGGGGGCCAATTTGAAATCAGTTGGCCATATCCATTTCCTCTTGTGGATGCAGAGCCTCTACCAAGCCTGTTATCCATGTTCTCCCATGGCCAAAGACTTTTTTATATATAGATTTTCTATTATAATATCAGAATGGAGTTGTGATGAAGGGGTTTGTTTTGCTTTTCCATGCCTCATTTTGTAGACCGACATGTAACCGCAAAGCATAATGAGGAGTTGGATGCGTATTTGCTCAAGCTAATGACAAATCTGACACAAAATGGAAGGAAGGTACCCACATTCAAAAAGGTTGCAAAAATTCAAGATTGAAGGTACAATGATAATGTGTGGATGACAATTCTGGGTACATACTAGAAAACCATTCTGTAAAATTCCCAACATTCAAGTTGCTAGTGTTTTGGGTTTGGCTTGGTTTTTCGTTGTGCTTCGCCTACTTTCTAAAGGAGTTAAATTAGAGCTAGTTGTAGTTGTCTCGAAATTCAAGATATGCAGGTGCCACCGGCCAATTTGATGCAAACCAAATCAAAATGCGGGTAAAGCACCAAACCAATGAAAATGAAAGGCGGGCATAGCTTGAAGATTTGGATAGCAACAAGTGAAATAGGTGCAAAGCCTCTGCATTGCCAGAGACCAAAGTAGAATTAGAATTTTAAAACTAGAAGTCGACACGTTTGTCATATAATATCATGTATCCATGTTTAGTGTGTACCCTAACCCTTCAAATATTAGGGGGGAAAAACATATTTGCTTTTGCATTCAAAGAAAGGATGTAAAATAAGGACATCGTACATTTAGCAGAAATCTAAAGGCTAGGCGTAGTTCTGCGATGCAATCTAAAATTTAAGATTACAAATTGACGGAATTGAAGGGACCAAAATTGTTATCAAAAATTATAATAATTTAGGTTAGATGTAATTTAAAATATTATATTCTTTGTAATATTTTTAGTGTAACATAAAATGTTATATTTTTTTCATAATATTTTCGGTTGACAACCGAAAATATTACTTAATTTGATAATAATGAAAAGGCTTAATATAAAAATAAGTGTTCAAACTATACTTCTTTTCCCATTTAGGTGCTTAAACATTTGTTGGTCAATTTAAGTGCCTTAATGTTTTCAATGTTATCATTTAGGTGCCTCGACAGTAATAGGTGCTAAAAAAATTCCTTCAACCTCTCAGAATGAGACACATGATACCTTTATAAATTTTTATAAATTTATCTTTTTTTAAAAAAAATAAATTATTATTATTTTTCAAAAAAATCTCAACATATTTCTAAAATCTAAAAAAAATCCAATAATTCTTAATCCCAAAGCATCCACCCTATTCGTCAACTAACCATTGTTACTGTCGTCCCACCAGCCGTCTACCCACCCATCGCCAGTCGTCAATCATGACTTCAGCCTCCTAAAATTCCTAAATCCAAACCCTAAATTCCAAACACCCATCCATCCGAATCGGTGGGTGAGTGGTTTGCAAGCTAGTGGTCGATGGGTGAATTGATGATCGATGACGATGATGATTGTCGACTTCGGAATTGAAGGTCTTGGGGTATTATATGAAAAAAAAATAGAATTTTTTTTTTGAAAATTTATGAATTTTATATTTTAAAGAATTAAAGGAAATAAAAAATAAATTATATGACAAATATTGATTGGTTGAATTATTTTTAGTGAATTTTTGAACGATCATTACGACTTAGACACAAATAATAACATTGGAAACATCATACATCTAAATAGAAGAAAAAAAAGTTTAAATACCTAAATAAGAAAAAAAAGGTATAATCTGATCCCTTATTTTTATATTAAGCCTAATCAAGAGAAGCCATCAATTTGTACAAAAGAAAACTATCTCTGCCTTCTTTCTTTATATTCTTCGAATTCAGCTCCATCAAGAGGTGAGTGCAGAAGACTCTGGTGACGTTTTGCAAATAGGGCACCAATTCTTCACCTGCCGCCACTGCTGTATCCATGCCACGTGATACCACTGTAACCTCCCTACTTCATCTCCCTGTAAACATAAAATCATCATCGGAAGTGAAAAACCATTCCAGTCACATCCATAGATAGACGAATAGAAGAAATGAAAAAGGCATTAAGTTGAGCGATGGTGGAAAGTAGCCGACAAAAGCTGCATTTGACACCATCCTTTTCACCCTCACATCTCATATTTAGATGCATTTTTTTAGGCATTTGGACAATGCTTCTTCTGATAACCCACATTACCCATCCTCTCTTCTAAACCTAGTACCATGTTAGCAAGAAAGGCTAATCAAGTAGTTTTTCTTTAACACCAAGCACATAACCGGGAAAATAAAACACATAGTTAGCACCCATATAACAAAAACAAAAGCAATATGACATATTATCTATATCCACTCTCATGTCTCTAATGCTGATCACAGAAGTCTAGGTCATTAAGGAATAAGTCGGTCTCTAGAACAATTGCTGAAAGAAACAGAAATCAGCAACAGAACCATCAGGCAATATAAAACACGTCAAGACTATATGTCAACTCTTCATCTTAACAAGATTGGACATCAGAAATAGAGTTACATCGTAACCGTACTTGTTTGTGCTAGAATGAGTCACCTGGGACGTGCTTTGAGATCCCAAAGTAACAGACGGACTGGACAGAGTATCCCAACCCATATCTCTGAATAAATTTTCTCCTAGGTCTTGGGTTTGATGCTACACTAGAGCTGGACTGTAACATCCCTAGAATCAGCAATGTTGGATTCATGAATCATGATGCAGCCCTCTTTGAATCTTTGCTGGTGGAGGAATGATCTGACAATTCTAGTTCATCCTGAACGCTACTAGTTTCAGATGAATCTGTTTCCAGCTGAGACGATAGCTTTTCCGAGGATTTCCTTGTGTTGCTAACTGAAGAGGATACCCTAGAGGAATTCCCAATAACCACTTGATGAAGAGTGGTAAGAAGACCTTGAATAGTTGGCTTTACCCAAGCAGCCATTTGGAGTAGTGCCTTTCGAGGAACAGCCTTCCACTGCATCCAATTCGGTTGCTAAACTGAGAATTTCGTTCCCTGTTATTTATACTGTTCTTCAAGAGATCCCTTTCCATGCACAACAGACCCTCTTTTATCTCTGTATCCATCCGTCTAGATCACAAGTACCCTTTATATCTGGAAGTAAATCAAAATAAATGTATCAAGTAATGACATTACTCCACCATGAACCTAAGTTTAGTTCTTACAGCATATCATTGAACGGATAAAAATAATTAGAAACATTGCCTCTTTAGATATCCCATTAACAGGAGCTCGACAACAACCTTCATTCTTGATGATTAATCCTAATACCACTTTCCATAAAAAGGTTAAAGAACAAAAACCATTTGTCAAATTTCTAAAGCTGGTTAACTGTCAACCCAACACAAAAACAAGAAACAAGAGAGCAGATGTTCATACATAAATCCAACTTCAATATGGCTCGGCCTTTTCCACACAAAAACCCAACTCGGTACTTCAAATAGTAGTAGGAATGTGTTTTCTGTAAACTCAGCCACGAGTTTCCTTGTTATAAAAGACAAATCCGTGTTAATATCCATATGTGATTTAAGAAAAAAAATTAGGATTGTTTCCCAAGGAAGAAGATAAGAAAGAAGAGGATTCAGATGCTGTTGGTTTTGATTTTATCATAATAATCACTTAGTGGATCATACACCCAAAGCATTTATTACAACCACAAAGGAGAGAAATAGAAGATGTGCGTTGTCTCTTCCATCTCTCATCATGGGACCATCCAAAAGTACCCAACTCCTCAGACCACTTGAGGAGAAGGGATCTCCAACCTACTGCAACGTACAATGATGCCCAGCCAGTAGGCTATTTGAAGAAGAGTCAAACCAATGTGATCATTATAGCTGCCCGTTTGAGGAGGCAAGCTATTTGGTTAAGGCTTAAACCAAGTAGGGAGTTCATCTGCTTCACCGCTTTCTTGGCGGACAATAACAGACCACTTCTCTCTGCCCATTTAGTTTATTATTTTTAATGAAATATTAACCAACAACTTGGACATTGTTGGTAGTTGTGATTATAATAGTGTTAAATTAGCTGATTGACCAAATATTGCTTGCTTGGTTTTGACTCTTACTTTGCCACCGAAAAATGTGGGGAATTTAAATTATGGTTTGCCAGAGGAGCAGAAAATCATCAAATCAAAATAAAAGGACCTACAAAGCTTGCTGATTGTGTAAAATCCAGTTTCTCGCACCCGGAGGTCGTGGTGATGCATCCTTTTCTACAAGGTGGGGCTGGTTGGGAATGGACTCGTTTTCTCACCTCCTGCAGCAGTACATTGACAGAGGTGCCGCTAACTTTGCTCCCATTGCCACCAATGCCATCTTACTTCTGTGTATATATGTTGTTAATCCTGTTTACCTTAACTGTGAAGTTGACGACATGCGCATGTCTATAATAAATAACACTAATTCCAAACGTAGCACATATGTAAAGCATAGCTACAAAACTATTCGTCCAAAACAAAAATAGCTTACAGAAAGGCAAAAAATGTGGACAGCACCCTACATGGCAAGCAGTTTTAAACTCTTAAGAATTTGCAACCCACTGTTTTTGAACATCGCCATCTGAACTATCATCCCCAGCATTGGCAGTTTCATTGTGACTGTCTTGGCTGGTTCTTCCATCATCGATTTCTTCCTGTTTCCCAGACCATCCAAACATATGTCTTCTAGCATCCCTTCGAGCTAACTTCAGGTCTTTGAATCCTTGCTCAAACTTTGCTTCATCCTCGGGTGAAAAGAAAACTACCTCCATTTGCCCAAGTTCTTCGTACATCTTTTCGATTTTAGCTTTCCAGAATAGGCCCGTCTCTGCATCCATCTTGTAGTAGGGAGTTTTCAGCAGGTACTCATCAATTCCACCTGCTTTGTCAATGCAAGGGAGGGCATGAGTGGTTACTTTGAGTCGAATGTAGCGATCTAAGATATAACTAAATAGACTCTTCTCCTGTACATTAGGCTCCCAACTCGACCTGTCACAACCATTATAAGATGTTAAGATTTCCCAATGAATACAAGACCACATAACTATTAACATATCAAGAAAAAACTTATTTACTATACTGCAATTGAGAAATTATCAAACCAGGAGCGAGAAAAAAGTTTGAGAAGAAAACTAAAGTTTAAACTTAGGTAGGCTGAATTAAAGCCCTATTCCAACTACCAAGGATTTTTTTTCGTACAAATCATTCTCAATTCTCCTTGATCATGACCAATATTGTTTTAGAAAAAAACTTAGAATCCAAAATCTTTTAGAACCTTCATATCATTAGGAAGAAGCAAAGTTCATCTCGACGTGACGAGTTCCAATAACAATGTAAAAAATGTCGTATATCCCAAAATATAAACCGAGATGCCCTAATGGGCTAAATAAAAAACCCGTTATCCTTATTGGGCTAAAAAAGCCAAGAAAATATATAGAAACAACAAGAATTATCAGCATGATCCGATTCAAAATTTACCATTTACGACCTAATTTAGTTTCTAAAAGCAGACCCTAAACCAATTTCAACCTAAAATATCTTTTCTAATATGAATCTATTTGTTAATGAATTATATGATGTATTGCAATTTCAAAACAGAAGTCTAGCCTACAAATTTAGTAATGTGACAGTAAACTATCAAACCAGATTAGAGAAGTTCCACTGAAAAAACTAAATGATCGCGTGTCTTCATCTCCTTCAAACAAGATTTACATTATTGTCGGAATTCAAGTACCTTAATAAAAGCCATTAGATAATCATTAAAACACAGATTAGATTATTGTCAGCAGCATTTTGAAAGTCAAAAGACGAAACGGAAATCTCCAAATATGCACCCAACCCTACTTTGCAAGCTTTGATCTGCAAATTGTCAACTTGTTTTTGGCACTCTTCCACCTAATGATACAACCAAATCGTCGTATTCTTAAACACTTTGGAAGGTAAGGATGCTGATGCCTCTTGCTTAAATTCTATCTTAACAGCAAAATCGTGATTTAGATTTTGAGGGATCAATTTGATTGAAGTTAAGATGTGATCTGTGTTTTAACTCTACCTTGTATTTGATGAAACAGATGCATAAAAAAACAATATTTATCACATAATGCTGAGTTATCCATAAATGGTAGGTATCATAGTTATGTAGTAGGTATGGAAGATGATTAGTCAACGATATGTGTGACAAACGATGGCTATATGAAAAGGCAAAACGTGGTGACTTGTTGGATTCAATTTGATTTCTTCTCTTTTGCTTTATTATCTTCTCCATTTCATACTCGTGGAGGCAGAAAATAGTGCAAAAGGTTAATATATGCTTTCAGTTTCATCTCCTACTTTGTTTAATTTTATTCATATTCTTTTTTAGAAATCACTAATTTTATTCAAATTAAAAAATATCCTAAATTACAATAAAAAATTAAAATTATAATCGTAAATTAAGCACATAATCAGGACAATTTCCTATAAGCATTGAAACAAAACTAGCAACTTAAGATCACATAAAATACCATACAAGGAAAGATTAAAATCTAACCAAGAAACTCAAACAAAAATATATACAAACAGATCTGAACGTATTGGCAAATAAACCACAAAAGGGGATCAAGCCAGTGAAAGACCACCGACAATCCGCAAATCAGACTCGAGCGACATGAAAAGCTATCCACGACCGAGTAACGGGTATTCAAATCCAATCTGATGATCCAAAACAGAAAAAATCAACAATATAACATATAAGCGTCATCTTGATCAGTCCTGACGATGTTTAATCAACCTTTAGAAAAAGATAAAAGAAAACAACGACCATACGACCGAAAAACATGCCAAAAGACAAAAGAAAATGTACTATAAAGACATAGGAAAACATGTCATACATGTAAATTTATTGAGAAAAAAAATAAGAGAACAATAAAAAATACCGACAGTCGTCAACCCACATTAAAATTAATATCACATCAATAAAAAAAAATAAACGACTTACAAATAAAAATAATAGAAGAGAAAAACTTTTACAATAATAGATGTTGTAAAATTAATTAATTTTATTATACTTGAACTTTACTTTTGATGTTATATTAAAATTAATAATCCTCGGAATTTAAAAATCAAAAGGTTATTGTTCAGTTGTCATTTTCAACGCACCAAAATTAATACACATCACCAACAGGATGCTACATCATCTGCGCATGCTTTCCATTTTAAATAAAAAAAATAGCATCGTTAATCAAACCAAACACCTTAAGTTGATTACTGGTTTTTCATATGTATTGATTTGATGAGAATGAGATCTCATCACTCCTCTGCCTTCCCCTTAATTATTACTCCCCCCTAATAAACATTCCTCAACAAACTAGTCAATACAGATTTGTGATTGATTTTTACACAATATTTAACCTTATATGTTTTTTTAAAATGTTATAAAAAAATCAAACTAATAAAGAAATTAATTACTTAAAAATTCATAATTAGAATTATTAACACCGAAAGTAAGCCGGAAGGATCTCGTGCCCCCACCAAATGGCCCTACATTCTTTATCAATTATTGAAGTACACGTCACTGTTTGACCAACCGCATCAACTTATCTTCCTTTCTTCACACTAATCAATTCCCTGACCCAGATCCACCATTTTTATTTGCTCAATTAGCCCTTAAACCTAATTTTTTTCCCTCAAAATGGTATTTTTTACCATTTTATATAAACTTAACTACCCTTCTCAAAGTGATACCTTTAGCTATCTTCGCTTATTGTTGAAAGGGTTTCACATAAAAAATTTAGAATGCTTTTCTTTTCAAGTTCATGTATTAAAATAACTTAAAAAATAGATAAGGAAATTTAGTTACCACTTTGAAAAATATTATGGAGTCAAGGAACTAGTTGATGAATTAACCCTCTTTATTTTTAGATCTGCGCCACCCTCCATTATTATTATATCACCCAGAGGAGCCAGCACAGCACGCTTAAAGCTAAAGACTCTCCAACTTGATAAATAATTAAAAGAGAAAATACAGAAGAAAGAGGGAAATCAGATCACAGGCCAATCGAATTTCATCAAAGCTCCGGTCACCGGCATCACGTGTTCGTCTTCTACCGCGAGTTACGTGGCTGATCCTGGTGTGGTTTTTCAATTTTCTAATTTCTTTTTTCTTTCTTTAATCGAACCAAGTCCTTTGATTTTCGGATTTACCGGATTTTGTTGCGTCATTCAATTTATAGTTCCCCTAATTTTCTGGTTTCCAGAAGCGAAACACGCAAGCACAAAGCTCCCTATTTTTTAATTTTCCTCCAGAAAGAGAAATTAAAACACTAAAATAATAAAAAAAAACACTTGAGAAAGCCAACATTTCCTTGCTAGCTCGCTCTGTAAAGTTAGCTTCACATTCTCAGCACTTTCCCCCTACTACTGCTTCCTTTATAGTCCTAACTCTATATATGCAAAGAAACCATGCTTTGACGCAATTCCAAGAGCTCGAAACATTCATTAATGGCAGTTTCCAAGTATTCATCGAACAAGTGTGATCAAGAAAGTCTCAAGAAATCGGAGCCGTTAATTCCAGGTCTACCCGACGAGGTTGCTGAGCTTTGTCTTCTTCATCTTCCTTACCCATACCAATCGTTGGTTCGTTCAGTGTCTTGTTCATGGAACAGAGCCATAACAGACCCTGCCTTCCTTCTCTGCAAGAGATCCTTGTCACTTTCGCTGCATTATCTGTTCGTTTTGGCTTTCCATAAATCAACGGCCAGGATACAATGGCAAGCGTTTGACCCGCGGTCAGGGCGTTGGTTTAAATTACCTTCCATGTCTTTCTCAAGTCTGTTTGCCCACCAGGGTTTGCTTGTACTTCGATTCCAAGTCAAGGCCAGCTCTACGTTTTGGGTGGTATGCGGTCCGACACGGAAACTTGCATGCAGACAACGATCGTCTACACTGCATCCACAAATCAGTGGTCCACAGTGTCTCCAATGACCACCCCGCGGTCTTTCTTCGCTGCGGGGAATGTTAATGGTAAGATCATAGCTGTCGGTGGAAGTGGGGCACCTCATAATGACTCCATCACCTCCGTGGAATGCTATGATCCACAGAAGGACACGTGGAAACCCATGGCAAAAATGCGGACGGTATTGGCCAGGTACGATTCCGCTGTGGTGGGTAACAAGATGTACGTGACGGAAGGGTGGACGTGGCCTTTCCTGTTTTCGCCCAGAGGAAGGGTGTACGACCCAGACAACGACATGTGGCGGGAAATGCCGGACGGTATGAAGGAAGGTTGGACCGGCGTCAGCGTAGTACTAGGTGACACGCTGTTTGTCATTTCGGAACACGGTGACTGTCCGATGAAGGTTTACGTCCCTGATCATGATGCTTGGCAGTACGTGGCTGGTGATAAATTTCCACGTGAGGCAATGCAAAGGCCTTTTGCTGTCAGCGGAGTGGAAGGAAAAATCTACGTTGTCTCCAGTGGACTAAACGTGGCAATCGGGAGGGTTTATAGGGGACTCAACGGCGAGTTTTTAGCAGAGTGGCAAGTTACGGCTGCTCCCAAAGCTTTCCACGATTTTTCTCCTTCTACTTGCCAAGTACTTTATGCCTAAAATAATATATTTCATATTTATTTGTAAAGTATTTATACTATCAACATTATGATTTGTGATTGTAATTGTAAGACCAAGTGAATTTCGTATCAAAATTAGTTGTAGCGTAATTGTTTTGCAGGGTAATTTCCAATTTCTATATTAGCCAGTGACAGTGTTAGTGTGACACCATCACTTAGTTTAGTGCTACAGGCAAGTTAGGAAATGTAGTTTAAAGGAACATGTCAGATATATACTAAGGTTTCGAAATTAAACCCAAGGGCATACTACTTTCAAGGTACTCCACTACTATTTACCTCCATGAATGCAAAGTAATATTTATTCAAAAATTCTCAACCATTTGTTAATGAACGCTTATATCTCTGACATACGTGATGCTTGAATCCAAAATTCTAAAGATAATAATAAATCTCTTAACCACAAAAATCGCTTAGTTCGTGCACCACGAACAAGTTAAACATTCTCTTCGTCTATTTATTAATTTCAACATTATCCCCCCATCAAAAATATTCATGGCAAAAATTTTAGTACTTTCAAGGTACGCCTTCAGTTCAATTTTCAACCCCATTTTTACTCCTAGAAAGTTTAATTTATGTTTCAAATCCTTATACTGTTTTAGACTCTGTCTAAAAGAAATAAAAAAAATTCAGGGTGAATCTTCTAAATATAATATAAAAGATTCAGCATATAGGAATGATAAACAATTCAATTTCGAGTATAATCAAAATATATATGATTATTGGATATTAAGAGTTTGACTAAAAAAATATTGTGAGGACAATATTGTTCATCTCCCAGACAAGTGATGGATAGAGTATTTATTGCTTAAAACAAATAATTGAAGAATGCAATTATGCAAGAATCTTATTGAGATGGTAATATAATCAATTAATTAGTAAACGAGACGAATCTAATGGGAAGGAAATGAATGCCATACAACTAAGTTGAATAATGTGATATAAATGTGACATTACATACCAAAGCACATGACAAATTGAAGAGAGATGTTGTCTAAAATACTTGAGGAAAAAGCCTTTGGTTAACACGTTACAGCATGTGAACAAATGCTCGATAATATGCAAAACGCGTAATTGTGTCTAAATCACAAAATCGTCACTGCTAATATTTTTCCAATCGCCGCCGAGGCTAAAATAATCTTATTAATAAAATGTTTTAGGACATTTTAATAGAATCTTAATGAATAATATATTATATTTGTCTTAAAATATAGTTTTTATACATTCTTTTAATGCATGAAGCTATGAACTTAATATTTAGGTGTTGTTAATCATCATTGATAATATTTAATTTTAACCTAAATTGATATTTAATTTTAAATAAAGAAAATTAAACCAATGGTCATACTAATAGAAACTAACAATAATATATACAAATAGCTATACCAATTAGACACGTATATAACATTTGAATACTAAAAAAATTATATTATTCAAAGTAGGAAATATACTAAAGATTAAAATAATAGATTACATTTAATAAAAAAATAATACATTAAAAAAGTATTAGTAGATAAAAATAAAATGCTATATATATTTTAAAAATCTAAACTTAAATCTAAATAATTTTTTTGTCTTAATGGTAGGGGTGAGCAACAAAATCGAGAAAACCGAAAAACCGACACGAACCGAGTAAAACGATTCGGTTCGGTTCGGTTTGACTTTAAACGGTTCGGTTTTCGGTTCGGTTTAAAAGCTTCATTTTTTTGATTCGGTTTGGTTCGGGTTTTCCATATGGAACCCATTTGTTCCATATTGAATCGAATAAGCAATTTTTGTAAAAAAAAATATAGTTTCAAGTGATTTCTTCATTGAAAAACCGAAAAATCGAACAGAACCGAAAAATCCGAACCGTTAAAAAACCTGAACCGAACCAAAAAAACCGGTTTCGATTTTTTAACTATTCGATTTCGGTTTAAATATTAAAAAACCGTTTATTTCAATTCGGTTCAATTTTTAATAAAAAATCGAACTGAATCGAACCGAATACACCTTACTTAATGGTCAGGGTTAGTAGTTATTAACGCCCAAGAAAATGTGAAAATTACATACCTTGTTAACTCACCGTCGAAACTAGAAATACATCTTCAAATCTGTATCCTATCGTATTATTCATTGCCAACAATAACAAAGGCAAAAAAAAAAATGATGAGCTTACTTTGAAAATTTAATTCCCTCATCCTCCTCATTTCCATCCAGTAAAAGACTGCTTCACTTTCTCTGATCGTTGAAGGTTCATCCCTCCCTCCCTCTCTCTCTCTCTCTCCAACTATCGAGATCTATAAATTTACTGTCTACTTCGGTTTCGCGGCATTATTTGTTTGCTTAACAAGCTTGAATGGTTCGGTTTAGGTTTCTGATTTCGTGTCATGTGATTTGAAAATTTGATGGAATCCTTCATAGTAATAACTATTAGCTAGAATAGAATTGTGCTCTTTGGATATAGATCTGATTTCACCTTTTAAACTTTCTATGTTTGGTTAAGCTTTCGCAGTGCCGGTATATTTTGTTTGTTAAATTCGTTATGCTTTTATTTTAACTGGCGAATTCAGTATTAATATTGGTAGGCACATCAACGGTGATCTTATATTAATAATTTCCTCAAATATTCCTCCCTTTTCAGTATTTGCTGGCAGGATAATTTTTCATGCAATATTCAGCCGGAGTTTTCTTGAAATTATGCGTTAGTTGGTGACTATTATTGTTTAGAAGAGTTGAGGAGCATGATCTTGTCTGCAGATCTTGTAGTTGTGATATGTTGTTATACTCATATATGCACAATTGGAGGTACCTGTGAGAGGGCCTTGTTTAGAAAGATGGTCGTAGAGCTGATTTGTCTTCTAAATTTTCACCAAACTTGTGATATTTGAATTAGTTGGCAATCTTTGTACTAAAGTGTTCCTATTGTGAGACTTCTTGAATGATTTGTCTAAAACTATTATTATCATGTTATCAATGCATAATTTTCGCATATATGGTTTTATTCTAGTCCCAACTTTGAGAATCATTATGAGCATTATTCGTATGTGTGTATATATATATTTATTTATTTGATGATTTGAATTTTGTTCAGAAAACTAGCAAGAAATGGAGAAGTCTTGTACTCTTCTTATTCACTTTGACAAAGGTTCGCCTGCAATTGCTAATGAGATTAAGGAAGCGCTAGAAGGCAATGATGTTCCTTTAAAGATTGATGCCATGAAGAAAGCAATTATGCTTTTGTTGAATGTGAAACCCTCCCCCAGCTTTTTATTACAATTGTCAGATATGTTTTGCCTTCAGAGGATCACACTGTCCAAAAACTTTTGCTTCTGTACTTGGAGATAATTGAAAAAACCGATGCTAAAGGGAGGGTATTGCCCGAAATGATATTGATATGCCAAAATTTGAGGAACAATCTTCAACATCCTAATGAATATATACGCGGTGTGACCTTGAGATTTCTTTGCCACTTGAATGAGACAGAGATTATTGAGCCACTAATTCCTTCAGTTTTGCAAAATCTGGAGCATCGGCATCCAGTTATTCGCCGGAATGCTATATTGGCTGTCATGTCAATATACAAGCTTCCACAAGGTGAGCAACTCCTGGTTGATGCACCTGAAATGATTGAGAAGGTCCTTTCAACTGAGCAGGATCCATCTGCCAAGCGAAATGCATTTCTTATGTTATTTACTTGTGCACATGATCGAGCCATTAATTACCTCTTGACCCATGTTGATAGGGTTTCTGAATGGGGTGAATTGCTTCAGATGGTTGTGTTAGAGCTGATACGTAAGGTTTGCAGAACAAACCGTGGGGAGAAAGGGAAGTATATTAAGATTATTATATCTTTACTAAATGCCCCATCAACTGCAGTTATTTATGAGTGTGCTGGCACCCTTGTTTCTCTGTCATCTGCTCCTACTGCTATTAAAGCTGCTGCGAACACTTACTGTCAGCTTCTTCTTTCTCAAAGTGACAACAATGTGAAGCTTATTGTGCTAGATCGGCTGAATGAGCTCAAGACTTCTCACAGAGATATTATGGTTGATTTGATCATGGATGTGCTTAGGGCACTTTCAAGTCCCAATCTCGACATCCAGAGGAAGACACTTGATATTGTTCTTGAGTTAATAACTCCCCAAAACATCAATGAGGTTGTTCTTACGTTGAAGAAAGAAGTGATGAAAACTCAAAGTGGAGAGCTTGAGAAGAATGGAGAATACAGACAAATGCTCATTCAAGCCATTCATTCATGTGCAATCAAGTTCCCAGAAGTTGCAAGCACAGTTGTGCATCTGTTGATGGATTTCTTGGGAGACAGTAATGTTGCTTCAGCTATTGATGTTGTAGTGTTTGTTCGAGAAATAATTGAAACCAACCCTAAACTTAGGGCGTCCATCATAACGCGGTTGTTGGACACAGTCTATCAGATTCGAGCTGCACGGGTTTGCTCCTGTGCCCTTTGGATCATTGGAGAGTATTGCCTTTCTCTGTCTGAGGTTGAGAGTGCCGTTGCAACCATCAAGCAGTGTCTTGGAGAGCTGCCTTTTTACTCTGTTTCTGAGGAAGCAGAAGGTACTGATGCTTCAAAGAAAACTCCTCAATCAAATTCCATAACCGTCTCCTCTAGGAGGCCAGCTGTTCTTGCTGATGGTACTTATGCAACCCAGAGTGCCGCCTCTGAAACTGCTTTCTCCCCTCCTACTACTGTTCAGGGATCATTGGCTTCTGGGAATATCAGATCTCTTCTCCTCACTGGTGATTTTTTTCTCGCTGCTGTTGTTGCTTGCACACTGACTAAACTTGTTCTGAGGCTGGAAGAAGTGCAGCCTTCAAAAGTTGAAGTTAATAAAGCAACAACACAGGCATTGCTGATCTTTGTCTCTATGCTGCAATTAGGACAGTCTCATGCCCTTCCACACCCAATTGACAATGATTCTTATGATAGGATTGTTCTGTGCATAAGATTATTGTGTAATACTGGTGCCGAGATCAGAAAAATATGGTTGCAGTCTTGCCGTCAGAGTTTTGTTAAAATGCTTACCGAGAAACAGTTGCAAGAAACTGAGGAATTAAAGGCAAAGGCTCAGGTTTCTCATGCACAACCAGATGACCTTATCGACTTTTACCATTTAAAGAGTCGGAAGGTAAGAAAACTTTTTGTTGTTGTCATTATCTCATATGCATAATTTAACATCTTTGGTTTTTCCAATGTCTCTTCTATATGCCTTTTTTATCTGTTTGAGGATGCATTTAATTTGTTTTGATAGAATTTTCTGCTTTATCTCCTTGGGTGCTTTTGCAACTCATTGAAATTGGCTCGTATTTTTTTTATTCTTTGTTGGATTTTTGTCATGAATTTATGTAATTGTATCTCAGATTTCCATTGCTAACCTTCCAGGGTATGAGTCAACTGGAACTGGAGGATGAGGTTCAAGATGATTTAAAACGTTCAACTGGAGAGTTTGTCAAGGATGCAGACGATGCAAATAAGCTCAACCGCATTCTTCAACTGACTGGATTTAGTGATCCAGTGTATGCCGAAGCATATGTCACTGTCCATCACTATGATATTGTTCTTGATATCACAGTTATCAACCGGACCAAGGAAACCCTTCAGAATTTGTGCTTGGAGTTGGCTACTATGGGTGATCTGAAACTTGTGGAGCGTCCACAAAACTATACCCTAGCTCCTGAATCTAGCAAGCAAATAAAGGCTAATATCAAGGTGTCTTCAACAGAGACAGGTGTTATATTTGGCAACATCACTTATGAGACTTCAAATGTGCTTGAAAGAACTGTTGTTGTACTAAATGACATTCATATTGATATCATGGACTATATTTCTCCTGCTGTTTGTACTGATACTGCATTCAGAACTATGTGGGCAGAATTTGAGTGGGAAAATAAGGTATTTCTCAAACTATTTCCTATTTTACTATTACCACCTTGCTTTTACAGCCTCCTTGTTTCTTTTAGTTAGCTAGCCCAATATTGATACCTCAGTCTTAATTTTATACCTTTGTTCTTATCCGGATTGGTGTTTCGATTGTATTTTTGACTAATTCTTTTGTTTGTGATTCAGGTAGCTGTTAACACTGTAATTCAAAATGAGAAGGAATTCCTTGACCATATTATCAAGTCAACTAACATGAAGTGCTTAACTGCACCGTAAGTTTGCCTTGTCTAGAAATATATGTACATTTAAAAAATAAACTGAGCAGTTTTTGGTTTCTGCAAACCCTACTGAAGGTAGCACATTATTAGTGATACAACCTGCAACGTGATTTATATAGTGTGGTTACTTTATTGTTGTGGAAAGGTATTTGAACCTAATAATGCTCAGTATGTAGAATGATAACCTTATTGTTGTGGTCGCTTTATGCGGCTTTAATGTGGTGCTAAAATTCTCGAGTAGGATCCTTATAGACTGACCATCTTGAATCTGAATTTCGTTTCAGATCTGCACTAGATGGGGAGTGTGGATTCCTGGCTGCGAACTTGTATGCAAAGAGCGTATTTGGGGAAGATGCGTTGGTGAATGTGAGTGTTGAGAAGCAAACAGATGGGAAGCTGAGTGGGTACATTAGGATAAGGAGCAAGACCCAGGGGATTGCTCTTAGTCTCGGGGATAAGATCACTCTTAAGCAAAAGGGAGGCAGTTGATGCAATAACATTTCAACATCATTTGTTCCATCCATACCGGTAGTCGTTCTTGTTTAGGACTTTGTCAATTACTACTGCTTCAATCTCTAAGTGAACTTTGAAATGCACAATTTATTCAACTTTTCTTTTGTCATGTTTAAAAATACAGGATGTAATGTAAGCTCCTCGTATTTGAAAAATGTCTGCCTTCAATCCGCATTATTGTTGTGACATTGTTTACGTCTTTCATATTTAAAAAGGACCATTGAACAATAGCTAAGGTAGTGCTTGTTGGCAATGTTAAAACATAATTTTGCGCTGATTCTTTGGAGAGTATTCAACTCAAGATTCATTCGAGTTCCATTGCTCCATAATAAAAATAATAATGCTTGTCCCCTTTGGTTGACTCCTTGCTCTGCTGCATTTTAGGCCTGGTTCCCGCAATCAAAGAAGATCTAGTTCAACTAACATGCTTATTACTGTTGATTGAAGCTTGATACCATTTCAGTTCCATAATATTATGCACCACGTATTGAATAATTATTTAATGTGTCACTGTGCTGTGGGCGTCTTTGCACTATAAACTGGAAAATCATGTTTTTACTGTATAGTTCTCGGCAAATAGCTCTCAAGTTGCTTCAAAACTGGAAACAATATAAAAAGTTCCAACCCGTACAAGGAGTATATGTCAAAAGAACCAGTCTAAACAACAAAAACAGGTTTGAACATGATGAACCACATGGATGAAATTATTATGATTTATAGAACCACTGACAAACAATCACTTACAAAGTTTCAACTTTTTGAAAAAAGATGATACCACGGTCTTGGGGTAGGGTTTCGTTGCGAGGCATGTTGGAATATTTTCAGGCTGTTCAATCCACAGTTTATGATCAATACCACCAGCAGACAGCTTTTCCGCCAAGTTCAATATTTGGGTTTCTCCTTTCACCTCAAGTGTTACCTACATGTCCCCCCCCCAACCCCAAAAAAAAAGTTTATTTTATTTCAGCCAGTTAGATCACCTAGCAAGTGAAAAGTACTAACTAACCAAGAGTCGTTTAAGATGCAAGATAAACGGACAGTTTTAAGGAACATTAACAAGTCTAGATAGAGAAGTAAAAGATTTACAATCAACACTTGATGGCATTCGTCAATGAGATAATACGGTCATGTTTGATTATTACACCTATAGTGAAATTGATTATCTCAAAAACATAATAGTGCTTAAGGTATTCCGAGGGGAAAAAGGATTAACTGAAAACTAAAATGCCAATGTTCACTGTCCTCCATAGCAAACCTTTCTGCAGGTGATGAAAAAAACTAAAGCTAATCTTTGCTAGTAGAACAAAAATATAACCTTCGTTTAATATGAAACTATGTATGATTATTATTTACCACCGCTTAAAACAACAGTGTGGGAGTTGGATAGGTATCCCAAATCTTTGTGTTGCATCAAACACCCTTATTGGATAGTTTTATGGGATAAATGGCTCTTTCTTTCTTCTACTATGAGACTTACAAGGTCCACCAATTCACTAAATTTTGAGGGGCGCAAGGAAGGTGTAGAACAACCCAGTATGAGACAAAACTGAGTCCCAATAACAAACATAGTTTTTCCCAACCATACATTACGTTGAAGCTTCATTCTCAAGGTCTAGTCTTTTTAGCTGATTTTCACATAGTGATAATTGTAGCCTCATATCCACCAATTTATTCGATAAATTTGTTGAAATTAAAGAAACCCAAGCAAATAGTCAGTCAAAGGGAAACAAAGGAGGAGGATGAATACTTACCTTGTGCATAGAGTCTATGTTTTGAGGGCTGCAGTACTGGAGGGTGTGAGCGTCGTCTTTATGAGACCAAATGGCAGTGACGGAGGCATGGCATCCCTGTGTTACCACGCTCCCCAATGGCCACGTGTCTATCAAGTCTCTCCGAAGCACCACGTACTGCACCAACACATCGTCGTTGCTCGGCGTGTTGGTTTCGGCGGAAACAGTGTCGGAGCTCATTGGGCTGGAAAGGTTCCGAGTGGTGATGGAGAATGGAAGAGAGGGATGAACCCTAGTACCTGGGAAGGGAGAGGGGCGGAAGCTGCGAAGCGAAGTGGTGAAGCCACAGAGAGACAACGCGGCCATTGATAGCTAAACGCTGCGTTGCTTTGTTTGTTGATTTCGTATCACAAGTCCTGGGCCGCACTTGGGGACCAAACACAAACAAGAATAAGCCTACATCCACTTGTCCAAAATAAACAACAAAATGCGAACATTAGAAGAAAAAAACCCTAAAACAAATGCAATTGTATTATTTGGATTTTAAAAAAAATATGATTAAATTAAAAATGATCAAACAACTAATCCATACATTGCAAGTGTATACAAACTAGTAGTAATAAGATTAATGGGCGAATCCACAATTAAGATTTATTGGGTGAGATTAAAGGCAATAAAAAATAAAGTTGGTGGGCAAACAAGATAATTAGACAAGGATTTCAAAATTACTAGAGAAAGCCAAATTGCCAACGAGAGTGTATTGTTGGCACACACATATTCTAAGCTTAGGTTTAAAATATACAACTTATCTTATCTCTCTAGACTTTAGAGATATCTTTATTAGTTAAACTATACATATTATAATATAATATTTTTTTTAATACTCCGAGTTGATTACAAAATAATATTTGTTCATAATCTTTAACCTATTATCAATATATATCTCGCAGATGCAACAATTTAAATTCATGACCTTTAGTGAGAATAACATTTTCTTTTGTCAGTAAGGTCACTTGATGAATTTAAATTTTTGTTTTTGTTTTCAAATAAACCCACCCCATTTGCCATTATATCTCTTCTCTTTCACATTATTAACCGTAATTAATTAATTATTTTTCATCATAATTAATTTACATCCACTCTCATCCCGAAAACTTCATCTTAGATCACACAATTTTATCGCTTTTTTTAAGGTTATAGGTATAATTGGTATTAGGCTGATACTTGAAATATATTAAACGATATTTATATATAATAAGATTAATATCAAAATAAATTTAAACTAAAAAATCATGTAAACTTCTATATAATAAAATTAGAATAAAATCAAATACTATTTTAAAAAAAGTTGACGTACTATTATTCATATCAAATTTGAATATTATCTTTCGACTCCAAAGTACTTAAATTACCTATTAAATACTAAATCCACTGCATTCAATAAATTTATGAATATATGAATATTTAAATTAAAATTTATTATTCATAAAAATAAATCGATTTAGATAATAAATATTTAAAAGATAATATCCACATTTTTTTTAATTTAAAATATGTGATCACTAAAAAATTGGAATCCAAATGTATCAGTCTCATAAAAAAAAATTGAAAATATTTGAGTGTGCATTATCCATCGATTCCAAAGAATTGTGGAACGGTAACAATAAAATTGCAGGAGGTTAGAAGTGGAAAAAATATGTACAAATATATATATATATAATGCATAATGTTATCATAAAATATGATTTAAAATTAGGTGACTAATTATGTTACATTTGTCATATTTATTAAAGTTTAAATATCATAAGTTGTATTTATAATTTGATGAGGGCAAAATTATAAATACTTGAAAGATTAACTTAATATTCAATCGATATAAAGAGGTAGTAGTCTCAAGAAATATGTTAATTTGTATTAGTCTTACCCTATAAAAAAAATTACAGTAAGAGTAAACTCATCTTTTTAAATATCATGACAAAGAAAGACTTAAAATTTTAAGGTATTGATTCTATATCTGTTAAGTTTTGGTTATTACAACTTGTTCACCTATTGGTAGAGATAGGGTGTTTGCGGTCGGTTTGGATCTATTTTTAGTTAAAAATTTATCCGATCCGAAAGTATAAATGTTTGCGGTTTGGATCGATTTGGATATTTTAAAAAAATATGATCCAATTAAATGCGACTTGATTCGGTTTGGATTTGAGCGGTTTTTGGATTCTATTTTTTCAAAATAATTCTTGATTTTTTTAATAAAAAAACAGCATAGGTATAACAAAAGCAAAGAGAATATATATTTTAACAAATGCAAGCTTTTGAAGCTTACAAAGAGAATATATATTTTAACAAATCAAGAAACGAATCAGTTTCTCGTTAGTAAGTCACCCTTAAAAGTAAAACGACGCATTTTCTAAGTTTTGCCCGACAATTTTCTCTCTACCTCGGAACTGAGGAAATACCAAAAGACAATACTATTATTTGTTATTATCATTTATTGCACTATTTTTTTCTATTGGCATCGATGACTAGAATATGAGCAAAATTGTTACATGCATATCGAGGAAAGCTGAATTTGTATCTGTATATGGGTTTTGTGAGATTTTATGGGGTTTTTGATGAGTTTGTTTCAAGCTTGTAAATTCAATATTCCATTTCATCAGTTCGATTGGGTTTGAATCGATTTTGAATTTTCAAATCGAACCGAATCGATAAATTTAAAAAAAAAACAAACACACTAAATTAGTTTCAATTTTTTTCGGTTATCGGTTTTTTAGATCGATTTTCAATTATTTTTTAGATTGGATTGAATCTGAACACCCCTAGGTAGAGATGTGCTCCATCAATATCTACTCTTTCCGGGAACTCCCTTCACTGTCTTGTTTATGATTGACCTCCAAATACTAAACTATATTTTCCAACCATTGGATTGCTTAACCTCAATCCCACCCAGGGTTCTTTTCTTTTCTTATACAAAATTCTCTTCATACCACCGAAGGAAGAATTTTTGCTTTTTTCCCACCTTAAATTTATTTAAGAGCAAATAAAGATGAATAAAATGAAGAATCTAGTGATTTTCTTTGGAGACGTGGCTTTCAATACAGAAATTTTGTGCTTATTTTTCTCCAAAATTTATGCTTATTTTATTCTCATTTCTTGCGTCGAAAACCACAATTACTATGAGCAGGAATCGGAGGATTTAGTCGGTCTAATTTTTCATTGGAATTAATATTAATAAAAAAGTCAATTTACATTCAAGCCCCCCAACTAATCCAAACATTAGAAAACACTATTACACCTACTCAACCCTCCTTTGTCATTTTCTTATATATATAAATTAATCTAAATTAATAGTTGTTTATTATCACGTTGACTAGAGAAGCAGTGGAGTACAAGGGCAGGAGCCAGATTCTCGTGCGTCGCAGGTTGAGAATGGCGGTGCTCCCCTTCGTAAGTTACAATCAACATAGACGGATCATCCGGAGCTCTCTCCACGTGTTTCCTGGCCGGACACCCTCTAATGCTACTACACTTGTAATATCCTCTGTTAAAAAGAAAAAGAAAGGTGTGAAATTAACAAACGTGATGCTAAAAGCTTGCAGATTCATAGAGGAACTCAACACAATATTTACCGTGGGTATGGAGAGCCTTTGATAGGCTTTTGCCCGTACTTCCTCCATGAATACTCGTCTGCAGGAATATCGGCTATCTTTGAACTTATTGCCGGTACCCTTATCACCTTCTTCATCCTATTTTTCCTGAAATAATAAATCAAATATGATCATTCAACTTGACTTCGGATTCCACCGTGTTCGTACGGTGACCGGATTCATTCTTTTGTCATAAACGGGGACCACATAACTCAACGAAGAAGAAAAGTCAAACATCAAAAGCACCGCATAAGACAAAAACCCCCCGAGATTCCAAATTCAGCATTTGGCATTATCACGCGTGCTCTATCATTTGTTATTGCATAAAACAACCCCCCAAACATTGACCATTAACTCAATCTAGATGATGGTATTTAATTGCAGCTAAAGTCGGTCGTTTTAAATTTAAATCCTCTATCGGTGGATTCGATTTTGAACTTTGGTTATGGTATTCGATCGAGTCAAAAACTATACTGACTGTTTAAATACGCCAAAGATTAAAACAGAATAAATCTAGGAAAGTATTCAAATTTCAATGTACCGTCGTTTTGAGCAATGGCACTTGCTGTTGCCGGAGACAGATAACCTGCCAGAGACGTTATCGGAATGGTCATGCTCATGGCACCTCTTCTTGAAAGGTGTAGATGATAGAGGAGGTTTTCCCGCAGAAAAAGTCGGGGCCAAGAATAGAGATGATCCTAGCTTCCCGTTGGAGACGCTACCGTCTCCGGTGATGGCAGAAGACATAAACGAAGAGTTCGACGAAACACTGAAGCTTTCTTTTGTAAACTCCAACTCAGTGCCTTTACTGTTGGAGCCAAACAAATTGGGTTTTGTGAAGTCGAGAGTCAAACTCTGTGGCTTAGATTGAACGAAACTAGCGGGAACGATAACCGAAGATCCAACCGGCGCCAAATTTACGTTCGCCAGCGCTGATGCAATAGATATATTATTTTGAATATTAGGAACAGACAGAGAAGCAGAGGATGATGATGATGGGGAAGACGAGGAAGAAAGGGACTGGATCGGCGCGCGTCTGAAACGGGCGCGACCAGTTCTGTTGAGAAGGGAGATGGCCTTTTTGAACTTTGAGACGGTGAGATCGGCTAGGTCAGTGCAGTCGACGTTGTTTGACTGGTGAGAAAGGAGACGGACCAGTTGTTCCATACCCTTCAAGCCTTGCGACACAGCCTCTTGTATAGAGGTTTGATCATCCATCTTGGGAAAATTCATCAGATCCACCGCCATTTTCGGGGGAGCAGAAACGAAGTTTGCAAGGAAGATAGCTTAAGAGGTCAACAAGTCATTGAAGCAAGAGAGAAGGAAGCGTTGAAGATGAAGGGGAAAGTAGGAGAACGAGGGAGAGAAAGGGGTTTATAATGGATGAAGAATGACCGAGTGACCGGGTAAGAGATTGGGTGGGAATCAAGATCGGAGTTTTAAGTCAACTACTCTAGTAATAAGACTAGACAAATCGCTATTTATTCAAGATTGATTTGATTAATTTTAGATTGAATGGATCTGATGTGAGTGTGACTCGAATTTTTAACGAATCAAAATAAATTATTTTATATATAACTTGAAAAATTTGTAAATAATTCAAAAAATATATTAAATTCTTATAATTTTAAAATTAAACTATTAATAATTATAATATTTATATGTTTTTAAAAAACATTTAATCCAATACTTTACTGTATTTAAAGTTCATATTAACTCAAATTAGAGCTTCAATCGAGTCAAGTCTAAGACTATTCGAGTTCAAATTTTTCGAGTTCGAGTCAAATTTGAAAATTTTAATCTCATGAGTTTTTTAACTCGAGTCGAGTTTTAATTTTTTATTTCAAATTCGACTTGAGCGTAACAATTTTAAACTTACAGGTTTCTAGTCGAATTGAGATTAATTTTATACTTTTTAAATTAAATCAAACTCAATAATGTTTAAACTTGAGTCGATTTTTTTTACGGGACTAAAACCAACGGCTAAAATTGATGTTAAGCGCTCTATAGTTGGTGGTGGGAAATAGGAATAATGATGAGGAATTAAGGGGTTTGAAATTTCGGAAAGAAAAAACAAATAAACTGATCAACATCGTTGACTATGACCATATATATATATATATACATTTGAAAATATGACCACATAAAGTAGAAATAAATAAAAGCTTGTAATTAAGTTTTGGTACGATAAGATATTAAATTCTTTAAGTAAGGTTAAGAGATAAATCTTAACGTTTGTGAATGGAGAAAATTAGATTGAAAGAGTCATCCTCACTTCTATAATATTCGAATTAGTTTATTAATAGATTAGATATTGATAGTTAAAAAAAACAGCCACGTAACATTGAACAAGTATAGCGGTCTGGAGCTTTGACGCTGTTGGTAAATTTATATTCTATATGTAAACATTAATAGTTTGGGGTGATTCAACCTAGCATTTATTTAGAACTATTTCTAACTAATTGATAATATACATATTTTATAAATATAATTATTTAAAAATAATATATTTTTTTTAATTATGGAGATTACTTGATGTATATTAATGATAGCAATCTTAAATATAAGGAATTTGTTTGGGTTTATGTTACTCTAAAGGTTAGTAAAGGAGTTTTCCATTTCCATTTCCCTTTGATATATTTGTTTTTGAAGGCACGGGGCTTGGTTAAAATGAATAGAAATGTTTGTCACTTTTACTTTTCCAAACCAATTCGTTTTATGCTAACTATTTTCAACTCTTCCACATTAAAAAATGAAATCATTTTTCGTCAATATTTTCATAAAATTTGTTTTGACTAAACAAAACTTGAACGTGTGAATACACGTTTTATCTAGAAACCTGAGTGGTGGTACCATTGTTATTATTATTATTAAATCATGAGGTGTGGCTTGACTTTGGCTAAAGAGTAAATAGGAAAGAAGGGCATATAAAACTTTAGTTGATGTCGCTAAGCAACATTCTAGAGGATGTGATTCCTTCACACAACTTGTCTAACCAAACAATAATTAATTTAGATTGGTGCAACCTAACATATCTATTATTTTAATTTTTTTAAAAATATTTTCTTAGCTCGTATGATGTCTAATCAAACATGTCTTTGCTTTATTGTAACCAAAAAAAAAGTCGTATGATGTCTAAAGTCAACTTGAAATGGAAATGAATTCTATGGTTTAGGTAACATAATTTTTATTTTCATTCATGTTTAACTCATGAGTGCATGAATTTAATTTCTGATTTCTGACTTTGACTTTTTTAGAATAATTAAATGGAAATAAATATAGAATATGTCGCTGGGGATGTGACAGTGGAACTGCTTTATCGGAAAGGGTTTAAAGATTTTATAATAATATTCAGAGCAAATGGATGGCAGAATTGGATTCTTTGGCTTTACAAATATCATTGCTCGGTAATTGATAATAAAAAAGCATCAAGTTTTCCAACTTTACAAATACAACATGCCCTGAATCTTTAGTGCAGCAGAAATCAGGTAAGTATGAATACACATCCTTACTTTTAACAACAATAATGCTTCAAACGCCTAACCAAGAATACTAAAATACAAATGATAACTATCCCTTGTGAAAAATTATAAACATACTAAGAGGAAATAAAATCTGTGACTACAGAAAGTAGAGTTATTGATGAATGAAAAACAACAACCAGCTTTTGTTCACGAATATTGCCCGAGTTTGAGCCCTTGTGTTTATCTCTAGCTTTCATGCAGAGCACTACCTCATCTGCTCTCCTATTAAATCAAGACCGACTAGCAGAAATGTCATCCCTTGGAAGAGAAGGAAGTAGAAATGTACTCCTTGTGCCGATAACAAGCTCCTAACAGAAGCTGCGAGTAGGAGGAACGCTAAACTGAGTTCTTTCCTGTATATCTTATTGACCTTCTTAACATGTATACTGGCACCTTCTTTCTGCTCATTTAATTCAGCGAGCTCACTCTCTGAAGCTCCCTCCGGATATGCTGCTGGTTTGTTGTCTTTGATTCCCTCTCAGGAGCAGCCAGTAAGTCGGATTCCAATGACCTGCCAGCCTTCTTGGTAACAACCCATTCATAGGAACTACCCAACAGGAATGATCCAGATACCATTGCATTGAACTTCGTCACGGACATGGTGTTCTCAAATAGAAGGTAAGGAACAATGAGAGGGAATGACTTGGGGGATGGAAGAATGTTGAGGAATGACGTAAAAACAGGTACGTAACAAATAACCCAAACAGGAAGCTCAGCCTCCGGGACAAACATGGTTAGAGGGAGAATTATGCAAAATAATGTGAATGAGTAGAAGGGAAGGATGAGTTTCCTCAATAAAAAGAATAGCAGTACTAAGTTTGCTTTCTTCCATATATCTGTAGAATTACAACATTAAAGATACTTCAATATACAGCATATATATCATAACAGCCAAAGATTCAGAGTTAGATTATTTACCTTGGAAGTCAAAATTGCTGGAAAGCATAAGCGGAAGAGTTGCATAGGTCCCGAGTGCCATCGGTGTTGCTGCTTCTGTATGCTTCATAAGATTCTGGAACTTCGCAAAGGACCTAAAAAATTTTGCACAGTAGCTCGCTCTTGTCAGGACATTCCTTGAATCTTCTATCACAAAAATCTTTCTTCATTTGATTTTTACCATGGGGCTTACGCTGGAATTCGATCATTTGTAGCTATGATTCTTACACTAAAAAGTTTTACGATAAACAGATTGATCAGAATGAAGACCTTTTACATATTGTTTAAATGATGCACTTAGCTTTTACTAGTCGCTCTAACTCAAATCAGTAATCAGGGTTGTCAAATAAGTGAAGGCGACAATGGTGAAAATGAGAAAATGAAATGGAAGTCAATTCAAGCAAAAGGAAATCAAAATAGAATAATGAGGGTACCTTTACATCATTAAGGAAGATGAATTTCCAACCATTGAGATGTGCACGAACAACTATGTCCATATCCTCTGCAGTAGTCCTTTCAAGCCAGCCTCCAGATTCCTCTAGAGCTTTAATTATCCAAACGACAGCAGTTCCATTAAAACCAAAGAAATTTAAAAACACACCATTAACTTGCTGTTCGATTGTCCTGGAGACGAGTCCACAAATTCTCATCCTTGTTGACAAAAGCCCATCTAGCCTGAACCAAACCTAACTCAGGATTGTCCTGCAACTCAAAGGGGGGAACAGCGCAAAATCCTGATCAGATGATTTGTATATTGTAGGCAAGTAAATCAAAATAATTCAGGTTTGTTTCTCCTCACATTGAAATGTGGCACCGTTTGCTTTAGAAAATCTGGGTTGGGTTGGAAATCAGCATCAAATATTGCCACAAACTCATAAGCCTTTACATACTAGCAACTCATTGGAGACTAAGATTCCCAGCCTTGTAACCAGTTCTTATCAAGCGATGGCGATAAATTATGTTGATACCCCTTTGATTCCATGTAGCAACCTCTGCTTTAATTAAACACCGGATACTTTCACCATCAGAATCATCAAGAACCTGAATCAATAACCTATCCTTTGGCCAATCGAGTTGGCAGACAGCAGAGATAGACTGCTCGTATACCGGCTATTTGACCAAACTGACACGTCTTTAACGAATATTTACCTTTTTGACACCGTTTAATATATATTTCCCGAAGTGGCACTATTTCGACTGAGTTGGCGAAAGGCGCGTCCCCGGGGACGCGTTTTACCCGTGTTTTCGCTGAGTTGGATGCCACGTGTGGAAGGCGCATCCCGGGGACGCGCCTTTCGCCAGCTCGACTGCCACGTATTTTGTTTAATAATAAATATTTTATTTTTATTATTATTATAAATTAATAATATATTATGTAAAGTGTTTCGATTATAATGTAAGAATTATCAAATGTATTTTGTTAATGTGTGTTAAAGGTGGAGTGAATTATCTACATTAATATGATATAACAATATATGAAAACCAGTTTTGACTTTATTGTAGTTATAGAAAAAATGTATGAAATTATAATATTACACATATGGTTATATTATTATTTTTTATTTTTATTATCGATCTATTAATTTTATCAGTTAATTATTTAAATGTTATCAATCTAGTCATCTCTTATCAATATTTAACGAAAATATTGATGCATAAGTTAATAAATTAGTATAATTACATATTTAATATTCAAGACTTACATATTTTATGAAATTAGTCTTATTGAAAATTTAATTTAATAAATTTAATCCTCCAATCAGAACATGAAATGTGTCATCGTATACATAAATTTTGTCAGTACCTATTATATCAGTACCTATTATTTCTCAGGGGACTTGAAGGCGCG